GGGGGGGGGGGGGGGGGGGGGGCGGATAAAATGACAATGAGGACACCTCCAGAGGGTACTATTTGGGTACAGGGCTAGTCTTAGTACACAGTACAGCAGAATGGTTAAAAGTCCCACCATGGGCATCAGGCGGAAATGAATCCCAGCTCAGCCAGTTACTACTGGCCTCGAACTCAGTGACTTATGCCTTCTGACTGAGTTTCCTTAGTGCAGCTCAGCTCTAAAATATGGAGGAAACCCCTTTGTCATGAAGTCCTGCTGAGGATCAGCAAAACAGTGGCTGTAAATGTCACATAAATGTCAACTATCATTGAAACCAGAGCCCGAATTTCAAAAGCTGTCACCCCAGAGCAAGTTCCTCTCCTCATCCTCCTAGTATTTACATGCAGGTAAAATCTAATCCATGGGGGCTTCAGCACAAATGTCAGGAAAGCAGTTCGTGGGGTGAAGCCTAGCACGTGAGCTCAAGAAGGTGTTTCAAATGTTTCTCAAGATCTTTGGCTGCTTTCTTCTGCTCCATTACCCCTTTTCCCTTCTCCTTTTCCTTGTCTATATCTTCTCTTCCTTTACTTTTTCATCTTTCTTTCCCATCTTTTCATCTTTATCTTTCTTCTCTTAATCTGTTTCACAGCCCCCCTTTATCTTCAACATCCACCTCTACCACTTCCTCCTTCTATCTCCTCTATAGGTGCCTGGGGACCCATCAAGCACCATTTTCTTTCTTTCTTCCTTTCCTTTTTTTTTGGGAGGGGGGGGGCAGCTGGCCTGTATGGGAATTCCAACACCATGTTCTAACCAAGTGAGATAACTGGCCAGCCCTTTTACCACATTTTCTCAGTCCCAAGGGGGTGGTTCTCCCCAAAGGAGAGGGTTCCTGGCTGGTCCTCACCTACAATGCACAATGGGTGGGCCTCCCTCCATGGTCTGGTCCAGCCACTGCCGAAGCATCTTCCAGAAAGCGAGCAAGGGGTCTGGGGAGTGGGGGACACCATGGTCTGGCCAGGCCAGGTAGTGGAATTGGCGCACGAATAGAGTCTTCTGCTCCTCCATCTGGAAGGAGTGGGGGTTGGGAGAGACAGAGCTCGTAGGCTCCGAAGTCATGGGGAGAGCCTGAACAGATGGTTTCTACAACAGACAGAGTATTCCCTGGGGCACACTGTGGTCGCTTGGGGAGTGAGTGGAAGGTTACACTTCATGGAAACTTCTGGGAGTGAGTGTGGGAAGGGCTGCTTGGAATTTCATGAAGGAGGAGTTGAGGGCCAGGACGGGGTTGGAGGGACTTACATGGAGGAGCTGCAGATCACGGACTGTCCAGTTCTCCATCACCTTCTCATCCATCAGGGTCACCTGTAGGTGACGATGGGTGCAGGGCTGAGCGTCCAAAGGCCAATAATGCTCACACTTCACCTGGGAGAAGACAGAGGTGGAGGAGCATCAGAGAACGGGAGGCCCCTCTGCATTGTGGCTTTTCTATTCAGGGCTGCTTGGAAATGAGGCAAGACTACGGGCATCCAGGTGTAGAATCACACGAGTCAGGAAGACCCCACTTCACAAGGCCAGTGGGATCAGTTTCCTATGTGGACAGTCTGGGAGTGGTGGCAGAGGGTTCAATTTTGAAGATGGTTGGGGACATATTGGAGGAATTGGTGAGGTCTGGATTGGGGTCTACATTGGATCAGTGTCTGGGGAAGGGTTGTGGGTTGGAGCTCAGGGGTCAGCACGCAGGACTGAGGTCTCTTCTCACCCGGCCAGACTCCACACAGTTGGTCAGCATGACCAGGGTATGGCTCTGCTGTTCCCACACCAAGCGCCAGAAATCACCAATGGTCTGTGGCAGGGGACCCTGGGCTGCAATAAACTCCTGGGAGTTCCAAAGACCCTGGTTGAGGATGGCAGGCAAGTCAGGGGGGTCATCAAATGATCCCCTCTGGCCTTTACCCCTCCAAGCTTGTTGTGCATCCTTCTGGTCCCAACCACAACCTTACAGGCATGAAACTGGCGTTGATGTAGTCAGAGCCTGGTTCCCCAGGGAGGGGCTTCAGGGGCACCCGTGACCAGTCATCTAGGAGAAGAGGCCAGCATTAGCCACACAGAGAGAGTGGTGAGAGATCCAGAGAAACCCGGAGAGACACAGAGACAACACCGAGACCCAGAGACAGAAATCATGCCAAGAGTCAGACAGACACTGGGAGCTATGTAGAGACTGAGAGGGGCAGAAGGACCTCAGCTGGGAAAGTGTCCAGGAGGACTCTCAAGAGGACCCACCGAGAGGAGGAGCTTTGTCTCTCATTGGAGATAAGAGAAGGGGACCAGGGATGGGGTATTGACTACATTGGGGTGGGGGACAAAGGCAGCAGAAGCCTAAGACTCACAGGGGAGCACATTTCTGTAGCGGTTCTTGGCACTGTTTTCTGGAGCTGACGCCACCATCTGAGACTGGCCATGGCCCTCCAGGGCCAATTTCTGGAGATGGAGGCAGAGGGGGGTTTCGCGGTGTTGGATTTTCTCTATCTCCCCCCAAGAATACCCCTGGAGCTCCCCCTGCCTTCTTCAGTGTCACCCCATTTATCCTTTGCACCCTGGGATTCCATAACACCCACAAAAATAGAATATACTTGTGCCACCTGCCCTGGGGAGCATTTGAAAGGATTGGCAGTGGGGGCGGGGGGGACAGAGACTTCTTCAGGCAGACAGGAGAGCAGATGTCAGGGGAAAATAGACCTTCTCAGTGGGAGTTGAGGGAGTTACTTTAGGATTGACCCAGCTACTTGTCATCATTATAAGATATCAATGAGTTGAAAAGATAACCATGCCTGAGAATTTCTATATAACTGAAAAAACTATGCGTGACTGCTTTTGCTTAATCCCAAAGGGTGCAGGAAGGTCTAGGATGTGGTTTAGGGCACAAGAGGCTGAGCTCAGCCCCCTCCGTTCTCACCCCACCTGGTACTCCTCTGCAAAACCACAATTGCTGTCCTTCTCATTTTTCCTGACATGCTCAGCAAAGTCTTGGGCCAGGATGTCCCCTGGCAAGCTGTGGGTCAGGGAAAGGAAAGGAGGGAAGAAAATAATTTAACATCCTTTAATCCTGTCCTCTTGGGATAAAAGAAAATGTGTTTTTGATTCAGCATGCAACTTCTGGGTATACACCCAAAATAAATGAAAGCAAAAACTTGAAGAGGTATTTGTACACCCATGTTCATTGCAACATTATTCATAATAGCCCAAAGGTGGAAGCAACCTGGTGTCCATCAATTTATGAACAGATAAACAAAATGTGGTATATCCATACAGTGGAATATAACTCAGCCTTGAAAAGGAATAAGATACTGAAACATGCTAGAACACGGATGAAACTTGAGGACATTTTGCTAAGTGAAAAAGCCAAAAAGACAACTACCATACGATTCCACTCATATAAGTAGTCAAATTCATAGAGACAGAAAGTAGAATGGTGTTTGCCAGGGATTGGAGGAAGGAGGGAATGGGGAATTCTTGTTTAATGAGTACAGAATTTCAGTTTTGCAAGATGAAAAGAGTTCTGGAGATAGGTGGTGGTGATGGTTGCACAACGATGCAACTGTACTTAACGCCACTGGACTATATACTTAAAAATGGTTATAATGGTAACTTATGTTATATGTATTTTACCACAATTTTTTTTAATTAAAAAAAAATTTTTTTTAAAGGAAAAGGTATTTCTTCTCACATTTAGGGCTACTCCCTTTCTCCTGGGCTCTGAATCCAAATCCTTCCCACCTTCTCAGGGCCCTCCAGCCATCATTTCTTCCCTCTTCTGTATCTATATCCTCTTCTCTTTCTTTTTAGCTTATAAGCATGCTAATCTCTCCTCTACGTTAAAAAAAAAATTCCTTGACTTCAGGTAGGTCGAGCTCTTTCTCCCTCCTCCCCTTATGCTATAGTTTTATAAATGCTGTCTTGACCCAGTGTTGAGGTCGTGGCTCGAGCCCGGTCAGTTCCTCTTTTTGAGCAGATGATTAAATCCACATCCCCAACTATCCCCCTCATTGGGCTTTGACACTCCTGGCCACTATCCACCTGCCCTCATCACCCCACAGCCAGGTACCAGACAACCAGGAACAGCTCCTATGCCCCAGAGCTCATGAAATTATTCGAACTATCCAATCCTAAGCCCATTTACCCTGCCTTGCCCATTTCCTCCCATGGAAAACATAATAAAGTCTCCTGCCCACAGTTCCTCCCTCTCCCTCTACCTCCTGACTGACCCCGTGCTTCCTTCCCCATGTGACCCCTCATGGCAGGACAGGTACTCCCTCTCTTGGGATCTGTGAGTATAATAAACTCTCTTTTCAATGGCAGTCATCTCTGATCTGTTGGCCTCACCACATCTAAATAATAATAAAACTCATTAAAACACCCCTTCATACTCAAACTTCTCATGCAGAGCAGTTTTCTCCCCTTCCTTTCACCACATCACCATCACCAGTACTGTGGGGAGCATCTTTTTCCAAAGTCATCGTGGGCCTCCCTATTTCTGATTCCAAAGGTCACCTCTCAGTCCATACCCTGCTTGACCACTCAGCAGCATTCAGCACCCCCGACTGTGCCTTTCTGGCCCTCTTCAGATCTGTACTTAAATGACTTCCTCTTAGTCATATTCTTAGCAAGACTTTTTCTGGAGACCCTATCCTAAATTTCCTCTAAATTTAACACCCTCTCTAAAATGTTCTGGGGGCTGGCTGGTTAGCTCACTTGGGAGAGCATGGTGCTGATAACACCAAGGTCAAGGGTTCAGTTCCCTGTACTGGCTAGCTGCCCAAATAAATAAAATATCCTTCTATCTTTCCTATCCTCTCCTCTTGCTTTACTTGTGTCCAAATACACAACATAATCTTTATTATCTTCTTAATTAGTGTCTTCTTGGGCTAGAATGTAAGTTCCAAGAGGGCAGGAATCTTTAATTTACCATTTCCTCAACACCTAGAAGAGTGCCTGATACATATTCAGCGCTCAGTTAACATTTGTTGAGTGAATAAATGAATGTTCTGGAGTTGAAATGGAAACTAATTCCAAAATCACTGGCCCAAAATAACAAATGCTGGTGAGGATGTGGAGAAAGAGGAACCCTCCTGCACTGCTGGTGGGACTGTAAATTAGTACAGCCATTATGGAGAACAGTACGGAGGTTCTTTAAACAACTACAGGTAGAACTTCCATATGATGCAGCAATCCCACTACTGGGGATATATCCAGAGGATTGGAAAACTTCAGGTAGAAGGAATACCTGCACTCCCATGTTTATTGCAGCTCTATTTACAATAGCCAGGATATGGAACCAATCTAAATGTCCATCGATGGATGACTGGATAAGGAAATTATGGTATATATACACAATGGAATATTACTCAACCATAAAAAGAATGAAATTCTACCATTTGCAGCAATGTGGATGAGCCTGGAGAAAATTATTCTAAGTGAAACAACCCAGGTACAGAAAGAGAAATACCACATGTTCTCACTCATAACTAGGAGCTGAATCCATAAATAAACGAATGAACAATAAAGAGAGACAGATGGAAAGAAAGAAAGAAACAACAGTCACAGTAATATGTCGAACTTTTAGAAAACTAGGGGTGGAAAGGGGAAGTAAGGGGAAAGGGAGGGGAGCTAATGAGAAATTGGTCAATGGACACAAAGAATGATTGCATATTGTAATGATGAATAAGCTACCTACACTGATCTAACCACCACATATTCTACACAATTATTGAAAATCAACGTTGTACTCCACATGTATATATAATAAAATTAATTAATTAATTAATCACTGGCCCAGTCTGCTTAGGGAGTGAGTCACAATGAAAAGGTTGTGGTCCCTGTTGCAGAGGACATTAGTCCCTTGAGAGACTATTGTGGGCGGGGCTGGCTGGTTAGCTCAGTTGGTTAGAGCATGGTGTTATAACACCAAGGTCAAGGGTTTGGATCCCGATACCAGCCAGCCTCAAAATATAATTAAAAAATAAAAAAGTAAAGTTGGGTGAATCATTTGGAAAGAGACTATTGTGAGTGAATTCATTTATCCAGCTCTCTGACCTATCCAGTGACCAGCAAACACTCCTTTACCTGACCTGAAAGTGATTCTTCTTTGAACGCTCCCTCAAAACTTTCTGCTCACCTGAAGACCAGATCCCTGGGTCCTACTTTCTCCTGGTTCTTCTTATTCCTGGGAAAAAGACATTGGGATGAAAGTCTCAGGAGTGAGGATGGAACTAGGAGTTTTCCACCTTCCTTATCCCAGCCCCCATCCTCCAGGTGGTGAGTGCCATGCTGAGTCTCACCTCCTCTTCAGGAAGAAAATCAGCAGGCACACCAGGATGAGAAACAGGAGGGTGCCCACAATGGCTCCAGCAATGACCCCTGGTGAGAGGAGGCATTGGGATACTCTATGTTAGATCTCAGATCTTGTCAACTGATCTCCTATCTCCATTCTCACCCAGCACTGAGATTAGAGAGCCCACAAAGTAGATGCTAAAGCAGAGAAGGGAAAGGAAAAACATTCTGGAAAAAGTGTCATCTCTCACCCAATCTTTCTTTTTCCTCTGTCATTTCCCCAGAAGCCTAGTCAAAATACATCATTTTCTCAGGTGAAATGGTTGCTAAAGAGTGACTTTCCAAAGATGGCAGAATAGACAGTTCCCAGCATCACTCTCTCCCACAAATCAACCAATTTACAACTATAAAAATGTAACATCAGCCAAGCTGGGGCTGCTGGAGCTCAGGGAAAGAGGAGGAGAGACCTATGGAATTCATGAAGGTGGGAGAAACCACCATGAGAGAAAGAAAAAACTGCTCTGAGCATTTTGGGCTGTGGCCACTTCAAGGCTGGAGCTGCTGAGTGCCTGGAGCAGGAGCCGGCAGAATCTGCAGCTGTGCCCTTCAGATGGAATTATTTGGAGGCGGCAGGGGAGAAGAGGGCTTTGGTGGCCCCCAGGACAGCAAGACCACTAGTAGGGTTCCTGTGGACCCACGCAGGAGCGAGGAGCCAGAACAGCTGAAAAAGGGGAGCCGTTCAGAGGCCAGTGAGTCATTGCAAGGGACCAGCACAGGGCCCATCCCATGTAAAGTGTTTGGAGCATGGGCAGTGGGGGAGATGGGTCCACCGGGAGAACACTGGGACACAGCAAGGACAGCTGACCCACCCCCCAATCAGCGTAGGACTATTCAGAGGAGACTGGTCAGGAATGCAGAATTGCATGGGGTGCAGTTTGAAGAAAAGACTCAGGCCCAGATCAGAGTTTCTACACAACCCAGGTGCGCTAGGTCTCTGGAGGGCTGGAAGTACCTATAAGGTCAACCATTAAACCCTGAGGGCACAAAAAGCCCTCCCTAGAGAAACAGCAGCAAAGCAGCAATTTAGCTCAACCACACAGCTCAAGTACTGGTCCCCACAGGAAGTTCCCCTGTTTTAGAAGTAAACAAAAGACGGGCCGGCCCGGTGGCGCACTGGATAGTGCGCCGCTTGGGAAGCGTGGCGGCACTCCCGCCCGAGGGTTCGGATCCCACATACAGACCGGTTCCCGCTCACTGGCTGAGCGAGGCGCGGGGGCAGCGCCGAGGGTTGCGATCCCGTTGCCCGTCCCAGTCCGGTACGGGGGCAACACTGAGGGTTGCGATCCGTTGCCGGACACGTAAAAAAGATAAAAAAAAAAAAAAAAGAAGTAAACAAAAGACAAAAAATTAGTCCCGGCCCAGGCACACCACCAGCACCAGGCACAGCTCCTGGGCACCGGAGGCTTGGAGCCAGGGACCGGACCCCACTCCCACATCCAAGCACAAAACACCAGCACCTTGGGGCCTGCCCGGTAACCCAGGGCATGGAGAAGGGGACCAGACACACCCCACAACCAGGCACACTGCCAGCACCAAGGAGGATGCCAAAAATATCACCTCCATGTGGGTGGCCCACCCCAACCACCACAATAACCATGGCTGCCACGAAAGCAGCTAGATGCTGCAACCACCCAGCAGATGGTCCACCAACCATTGCAGTGCATTGACACAAGGAGAGTCCCAGCAGAGATAAAGAAAAGAAGGGGATGTGTCTCTCCACAAAGCTGATTCCAGAGTGACAGAAGAAGCATCTATTATCTATGATAATATTGGGGGACCTGATTACACCTCTCAGCACTGGACAGATCATTTGGACAGCAAATCAACAGAGTAACCATTATTCTTTCAGAAGGAAAGAAGAAATGTAGGGTAATTAGAGGGGAGAGGGGAGGGAGAGGGGGATGGGAAGAAATTAGACAAGGGGCATAAAGAATAATTATGATTTGTAACAATATATATGCTAGTAATATTGATTTGATCAACATATCTCAATGAACCCCAAAAATATTTATAATCAATTTTGATTAAATAAACAAAATAAATTAAAATAAGGGTGACATTCCCCTTCCTTGGCGTAGACTAGTGGTTCTCAACAAGAGGGTTTTGTTATTGTTGTTGTTGTTGTTTTGCCCCCAGTGGGACACTGGGCAGTGTCTGGAGACATTTTTGGTTGTCACAACTTGGGGGTGGGGAAGCTATTGGCAGTGGAGGCCAGAGATGCTGCTCAGCATTTTACACTGTGCAAGACAGCCCCCCATGATAGAGAACGATCTAGCCCAAAATGTCAATAGTGCCATGATTGAGGCAACACTTTGCTGGTCAAGAAACCACTCCCAAGCACTGACGGTTTCAGTTCTCCCCAGAATTGAGGCTTCGTTTTTCAGAGGTTCTGTTTGCTAGGGGATTGGCTCCCAAGCACTGGGCCCTACTGAGGTCTGGTGGTGTCTTAGACCTTGGTTGGTCCCAGTCTCTGATGGGCACAGTTCTCCCAGGATCTGTTCTTAGATGACTGGCCTTAGGGTAGAAACAAGCCCAGGGCCCACTTCCATCAACCATGGAGGCCCCCAGCTGCAGCTCTTCAATAGTCTTGGTCATTAGGGGAGCCTGCTTGTTCAACAGGCTCTAGTAGGGTCTTATAGTCTATAGGGGAAACTCATTTCCTTCATGGATTTAGTCCCAGATAATTGGACTAGAATATTTGTCCTCTCAGGGACCCTTGTTGCTAAGAGAGAGACACTACCAGGCAATGGAATCTAATGAAGCCTAGTTTGAAGCAGCATCACTGCATCAGCCTCCAGTCTCTCTCCATATTGAAGACCCAATCTTATAAAATGCCCCAATTCCTAGGAAGCAATTGATGGGGTGAAGTGAGGACTATGGCCACAGTTATGGTAAATGGTCAGAACTTTCCAAAGTATGAAATCCAAATGTCTTCAAAAGACACATTGATAAATGTAAAATGGTGCAGCCATGTTGGAAAAAAATTCAGCAGCTAAAGAGACTTAACTTATGACCTATCAATTCTACTCCTGGGCATACACCCAAGAGAAATGAAGACGTATGTTCACACAAAAATCTGTACACAAATGTGCACAGAAGCATCACTCATCATAGCCAAAAAGTAGAAACAACCCAACTGATAAATGGATAAGTAAAGTGAGGTATATACATGCAATGGAATATTATTTCACAATAAAAAGGAATAAAGTACTGATCCATGCTACCACGTGGGTGAACCTTAAAGCCATTATGCTCAGTGAAAGGGGCCAGTCACAAAGGACTGCATAATGTGTGATTGCATTTTTTACAAAATGTTCAGGATAGGCAAATCTGTAGAGACAAAAAGTAGGTTAGAGATTTCCTAGGGCTGGGAGATGCGGAATGGGGGAAGCAGGAGGTGAGATGGTAAAGAGGAGCGAGTTTTCTTTCTGGGGTAATGAAAATGTTCTAAAATTACTAGTGGCTGATGGTTACAAAAAGGTTGTACATATACTAAAAGTCACTGAATTGTACCTTTAAGTGGTTGAATTGCATATTATGTGAATTACATCTCAATAAAGCTGTTTTAAAGAAAACGGGGAAAAAATGGCAAATAAACAAACAAAAAAAACCCTCACAACAGGGCCCCATGCAGTCTAACTCTCAGGCCTGGTGGGGCTCTACTCACCTGCACTCTCGGTGTGGCAGATCACAGAGGCAGAAGGGGCCTTCTTTCCATCCCAGACAGTCGTGACAGTGGCTGAGTAGGACTTAGCCGGCCTGAGACCCAACACGGACACACCCTTCCAACATGAAGCTCTGTCCTGCGAGCTCCACTGCTCACCCACCTCCATCTCAAATGCCTCGTAGCCCCCTGAGGGGCAGGACCAGTTCAGCATGATCCCATAGCCCCCCGAGGTGCTGATGCAGGAGGTGATGGTGACTGGGTTTGGGTCTGGGTGAACGGAACAAGAAGAGTTGACAGGAGTCATTCAAGGTGGCTTTCCACTCCCACCCATTCCCACCAATAGTCATGCCATCTCTCTGGGAACTAGCCCATCCCTTCCTCCCCCAAACCAGAATAACTCATCTTACTTCATTTTCTGTTCTCCCCATATGGACATAAACATGTCCCTTCAAACTACAACTCCCATGAGTTTTTGGACTCTGTGTATCACTGTGACTTATGAAGTCTTGACCCCATAGCCTGATGGGATTTGTAGTCCATTCACCTCCCCTGGCCCTCACGGTCTGATCTAAGCCAGGTAAAGGAAGGGTAGGGCATCTCACCTGTGGATGCACAGAGACTCTGTGTGGAACTGGCTACATCATTCCTCTCTGCCCACACGCTGCAGTTGTACAGAGTCCCGGGTTCGAGGGCCTTCACTTCGTACGTGGTTTCATTGGTCATGCCAGTCTGGTTAGCACAATCTGCTTGGGGGTCTTGCTCCCTCTGGAGGTATCCCCCACTGGTCCACTGGACCCGGTATATGTAAAGCTGAGAGTGGGTGTCTTCAGGGGCCTTCCACTGAAGGGTGACTGAGTTGTTGGTCTGAGTTATGTTCTGCAGATCCGTGACCTCATTGGGAGCTGAGAAGACAGGAGCAAAGCCTAAGGGGGTATCCTGAAGGACCCTCTTATCTGAGCCTGCTCCTTCCCCTCCCTCTCCCCACCCCCTGCCACCAGCAAATCTGAGATGCCCCAGTTATCTATATCAATGGCTCTAGTTACTAATGAAAGTGAACCACAGAGAAGAGCCTAGAAACCCAAGCCAGTGAGGACTAGGATCTCCTGGGCCTTTTCTGTCCCCTGGCTACAGCTCTGGGTCCCACCAGTCACCTTTCAGTTCTCCCCAAATGGACGCAAATAGGTTCACTGAAACTACAGCTCCAGTGAGTCCCTGGACTCTCTATATCACTGCAACTTATGAAATCGTAACCCCGTGGCCTGATGGGGTTGCAGTCCATCACTTCTCATGGACCTCAAAGTCTGACCTTTCTTTATTGCCTCTCCCACGAGCAGGACAGATACTTTTTCACTTTTAGACACACCAGGTTTCTAGAGGGAACTGACAACCTTAGTCTTCTTAGCATAAGTGGTCAAAGGTTAAAGAGTTTCAGGTTCTATCAACAGTGAACCTAATTTCTGGTAATTTTGGTTTTTCTCTCACTTGGGACCCACCATGTGCAGGCTGAGAGGTGGGGTTCTCTTGGTTCATCCAATTCACTGGGACCAGCTGTTGACTACTGTCCAGCTGGTGACTTTGTTCATTCCTGAAAGCGGGTGCTGGACAGTCAGGGGCTCTCCCTGACCCCAAAGAGCTCATTTCCCAAAGATGGAAAAGACAGACTCTCCATAGTTTGGAAAGCACCAGTTGCTGAGAAACAACATCTCATAGGAACAGGACCTATAAGCTCAAGCTCCAGAAAGACTGGACAGGGTCACTGAGCACACTGTTCATCTCCTAAGAAGCTCCCAAAGTCCCTCCAATTTTTTCCTTCCCCTATTCCAATAGGGCTGGTTCTAGAACTGGTCTGTGTCTCACCGTTGGCCTCAATGATTGTTCTGTTATCACCGATGAGTCCATGAAGTTGTATAGGCTCCCAGGACTTCCATATCCCCCTGTCCCCATACACAGTGATATGCCCTGTCCCTGTGCAGCCCAGCTTGTTAAGAAACGCTTACTAGTAATGGGACCTAGAATGACCTGGTCTCCTGCAGCTTCATGCTCAGTGGCATGAGATGTCTGGACAGGTTCTCTTCTTCAGGGCAGAGCCAGTCCCCAGGTGTGGCCACATCTCTCCTGTGGACCCAGGGAGGGAGGTCCTGGCTCAATGAGACTGAGGAGACTATGAATGAAAGACCCAGAGCCCAGAGGAGGTGCCATCTTTGCCAGTTCTTAAACTCTCATCAAAACAGGGAGTGGACATTGAGGCATCCCGCCTGTGGATATGCTGATGTTCCACCTGGAACCAAGTACTCTATTCTTTTCTGCCCACACAGAGAATTGGTACAAGGTCCCAGGTTCAAGTCCACCAGCTGTGATGCTGGTGTGTTGTGTTTCAGATCTCATTTTTGTCACCTTCTCCAGTTCCCTGGACCTAGTAGATGTAGTCCCAAAGGTCTGGGCCTTCAGGGGCTGCCCAGCTCAAGGCAACGGAACTGTTGATCTGACCCTTCAAAGACAGATTTGTTACTGGGTTGGGAACTAAGAAATTAGGAAGAAGATCCAAACTGAGCAGGGATGCAGAACAAAGGGAGGCAGTTAGTGGGCATTTTTGATTCTCAAAGTTCCCAGTCCTTCATCAACTGTTGGTCCCAGTAGATGAAGGGTGTGTGGTCTAGACCAGTGATCTCAAACTTTATTGTACACACGTATCACTGAGGTTCTTGTTCAAATGAAGGTTCTGCCTCAGTAGGTCTGGGATGAGACTGAGATTCTGCATTTCCAGTAAGTTCTTGAGAGAGAGAGAGATGCTGCCCACACATCAACCATAATTTGAGTAGTTCTGTGGTCTGAATATCTGTGTCCCCACAATTCTAATGTTGAAACTTAATCCCCAATTCAATAGTACTAAGAGGTGGGGTCTTTGAAAGGTTATTAGGTAATGAGGGTGGAGCCCTTGTGAATGGGATTAGGGCCCTTATGAAACAGGCCCAGGGGAGCTTTGTGTAATGATAGAAATGCTCTCCCACTGTCGAGTAAGGTAGGCGATAGCCCAATGGTGGATGTGGGTAGAAGACTGGGAGTCCCTCAACAGAGCTATTGAGCACATGAAATGTGGAACTGAATTTGCAACTTTAATGAGCTTAAATTTAAATGGTCACATGTGACTACCATATTGAACAATAGAGTTCTAGAGAGAGGATACTTTATGTCAGGGTGATGGAGCTGATGTCTGAGCTTCCATCCTTACTATGTGACAAAGATGGGAACTAGGAGAAGAGTCAGAGGGTTGGAGTGTCTCCATTCACAGTGCCTAATTTCCCTAGAGCTCAGGTAACATGCCTTGGCCCTTATGCATCCCTGTTTGCACAGGAGGACCCTCCCTGGTATTATGGTCTACATTCTAGACAATCCTAGACCCAACTGACCTAACTCAGAAGCTGGAGATGCCTTGGACATTCTTTCTTTATCTTCTGAGCCAAGACTGCCCCAGGATGGGGCCAGTTTTCTCCTGCAAACTCCTGAGTATCTGGTTCAATGGGGCCCTAAGTGGCTATGGGCTAAACAATCTGCCATGTTCTCCTCTTAGTCTTCCATCACCACCTACCACCTCCCCTAAAAAAAAAAAAAAAAAAAAAGG